AAAGAAGGGGCTCCTGTTTCTCAACCATATTCCCGGACACCACTTCGGCCAAAAATAAAGACTGGCGTCTGGTTTGAAAACAGTTAGCAAAAGTTCTGAGTAAACGAAACTCCGTTTTTGTACTGACTTCTAGCCCTTTCGCCAGACGTTTTAGTGTAGTTGCGTACCATTGGGACCCACTGATCTCAGGAGTAAGAAAAAAGACGCGGTCCCGCGCGAAAACCGGCAAAAAACCGCGCTCGCGCCAATTATACCAATACCCTTATAAAAGGGTAACTGCGGAACAAAGAGCTCCTGCTCCTCCTTGAACCTCTTTGATACATCTGCAGATAGCGTTGCGGCTGCAAACGGGTTGTCAAAGAAAGAGCATCGCGCGGTAAAGCGCAAGGTCATCAGATTTTTGAAATTGATGGCATTTTCATACTTTACAAGACATGGCGGATCTCTTTGTGAGCTATGCTTACGAACAAAAGCATTTATTAGGGCTTCGTATATTTTGCAAGCCTACAATCTGACCCTTCGTAAGAGGTTTTCAACCCACTCTAGTGGATTTTTAAGACTTTTACAAATAGACTTTCGCAAAAAACAGAAAACTGCACATGGTGCAGCTGTCAAAAATTTCTCGTCGTGTAGCTTCCTTTCTAAACTCTTTGACAACTAGCGGCGGGAATCAGTCCCTTCCGCTGTCGTTTTCTTAGCTAAGTGACCTCCATCACCATAATAAACCAATGGCACTCGCGCCAACTTGCTTCCCCACCAGTCCCTTTACTACAGCAAACAAATTACGCGTGCATTTCAACGACACCCGACAACCTTAGTGTCATGCCGTGACTCCCAGACGGCGGCATACGAGTTGGCACGCGGCCAGCTCGACCGTGTCACATGGGAGACGGCGACCGGGATGCTAGGACGACTTCGACGTGCGGACGGTGTCACCGCGTTTAATTCGATTATAAACACACACTCGTCGCCAAAGATTCCAGCTGAGCGCGCGACGATTTAATGTCTCAAACGACCACGTTGTCCACGCGGTCAGCACGAACGACCGGGGTGCTGGGATGTATTCGTTGCCACCAAAAAAAACCTCGTCAGTGTGAAAACGTCGCCCTAGTGGTAGTCAGCCAGCGGATGCTCACATAATTCATCGGAAAATATGAAAATACGAGAAACGCAATCAAATCGCGCGATAATGCTCACATTCCTGTGATGCCTGGTTGAAGAGTGTACAGCTGGAGGAGAACGTGTAATATATTCAAATCTATGCCAACTAATAGCATCATCGGCAAAACCTCGTACATCATGCGTGCGCCTACTGTATGTCATCTGGTGAACTACTGCAATCACATGGAGAATACGGTGCCGGTTAGTCACTGTAGTGACCAGTCATACTTCGCCGGAACCGAAAGAAAAGAGCGGAAATCGTCCGTTGATGGATTCAGAACGATAAAAGACAGGCATCGCTTCATGTGAAGCAACTATCAAAAAGCGTTGCAGTCCCCACTTACCCATACTAACATTTTCTAGACTAGCCGAGCAATGTTGATTATTGACTGATGACAGTTTTTGAATTGTTTTGCCCTGCTAACACTTGCTTCTAGCCAGATCGTGATGCATATATCGCAAGGATGCAAGCAGTCCAGAGTTCCTATCCCAGCCAATGCAATGTTCTGCCCATATCCTGCAGCCAGGTAAGTGATGTTCTAATCCCTTTTCCAGCCTTTTTTCTTACTTGCACATCTAAACATATGAGCTGAGTACTGATGTGATACGTCTCGCAGCTTCCACCGACCAACTCCACCTCCGCGAACGCCAATGACGTGCTTTCAACAACCCACGCGCTCTCAACGCGTATTCTACGCCAATTTCTTGCACGTCACGTTTTCGTTAGCTGTTCGGTGCATGCACTTGTGATTGTTAACATTCTGACGAAACATGCAGAAGAGAATTTCTTCCAAGACCGCCGCCTTTTGTTGCACACAATGACAAAGACCACTAAGATAGCAAATGATGAGACACACTATTGGCAACAAACGTGCTACGATCGGTAGACTTTCAACTGCTTCTTTGATTCCAATCCGAAACTCGCTTTTCGCACACACACATAC